TATTCAATGTATTTTTTATGAGTTGTATTGTTAAATCAAATCTACAAAGTTGTATTGTCAAATCAATTTATATTGACAAATTATTATATATTGTCAAATCAATTTATAATGATATCTTGTGACTTTGATTCCCATAATCTCACATGAGGGTAAAAATATGCAGTATAGTGGTACACCTAGATGAATTTTTTATTAATTAATTATCGCATTGTCAACTCATTTAGTCATGTCAAATCAGACTTTTTTTTATTTCTAACTAATTAATTATTGCACCTATACCCAAATGAAGTTCTCTTATAAATTAACAATTATTTCCTTGTTATGATCAAAGTAACTAGAATCCTACATTCATATCAAAATGTATCGAATAAGAAAGTATTCTATTGAAAAAATTACTTTGAAGCAGTTGATTATGGATGGTAACAGTCGAGTTCATAGATGTTTAGCATCTCCATCTAATGATGCATCAAAAGAGAAGGCTAAAAAAATCATATCTACTGATGTTGTTTAGATTTCTAGTTAGACAAGAAGGACTAAATGTTATGGAAGACACTCAGAGATCTTACGAGGTATCCATCTTATAAGAATATAATGAGTTTGAATGAGGATGATTGAAAATATATGCAAAGAGAGGTTTCACAACATGTAGCATATCTAGCTCTGATTAATACGGTGAAGGCTAGATATGCTAAAATTAAACGTCATGAAGATGGATCGTTCGAGGAGATTGTGGACAACTCAATGGTTGATATTGCTCACTATACCCTTTATCGGGAATGAGATACTAAAGCTGATGCATTCCTGATCAAGACATACGAGAATATGAGTTTTATGTCTGATAGACAGAGGATGGACTTTCTTGATGCAGCGGACTGGCAATGTGTCCAGCATTGGTTTAAACAAAAATTTAATTACTTTCCTACACAAACTAATTCTAAGCTCGCACTCGCATCATACTACAAAAATGTTGAAGGATATTTTTATACTTAAAACTTTCTTATGTTGTGCTAGTAACCTAATTTCGAAAAAGGTATAGAATGTGATTTGAGCCTGTTATTGATGAACTTCTTAAATTTTATGGTTGTCGACATATATATATTTGTATGAATATGAAAATGTACGTGCTTGTTTGTTATTGGTTACTAGCACAACATATGAAAGCTCAAAGGATAAGAAAGTCCTTCAACACTTTTGTAGTATGATGCGAGTGCGAGCTTGGAGATAGGTTTGTGTAGGACAATAACTAAATTTCTATTTTCAATGCTGGACACATTGTCAATCCACTGTATTAAGAAAGTTTTTCATCTGTCTATCAGGCATAAAATTCATATTCTCGTATGTCTTGATCAAGAATGCATTAATCTTAGTATCACATTCTCAATAAATGATGCAGTGAGCAATATCAGCCATTGGGTTGTCCACGA